AAAATTAAATTCTAAAATCCTGCACACAAAAGCTAATAATATCATTATAAAAATGGGAGCATTTATAACTGAATTTGTGCATCATCGTTGGCTAGTGGGTTAAAAACAGTTAATATGCTATTTTGCAAAAATCATATACATATACTTTGAAAATATATATACACAAATATACAGTATATACAATTACTATGTATACCCACAAATACTGACATACATATAAAAACATTTGGAAGACTTACACTATTATTATCAGTAGTTATATCTCGAGATTATGGATAATTTTAAATTAAATTAAATTTTTTACCTATCTCTATTGTGTAAAATGAGCATAATACTTTGATAATAAGGAAGTAAGCTTAAGGAAATAAAGAAAAGCTCATTGCTCTCAGGAGGACACTGTTCTGCACTGTGTAGGAAATTAGAACTCAGTCTCACCTTGACCCCTGATGAGGTTGTGCCACTCACAGACGTGAAATCACAAACTATGTAGGCTACAAGGTATGTACTCATTTTTACAGTAGTTTCAAAGTGATCTTCCAAGAGGCCTCCTTCAAGTTCAATTGTCTTAACCTACAGTAAGAGAAAGGAATGAGTATTTGAAAACTGGAGTATTTCACAACCATGTCTGTGGCTCACGGCAAGTGGGTTAGAGGGAAGCCTGCCACTCTGAAGGACACTTGATGACTTTCTGGGCGGTCGATGGCCTCTCATAACATTCTGTAGTCTCTCTGAGCTCTTTCCTTTATCCCTGCACTCTCTTGAAGGCACAACACACTGCTTTTGAGATCCCTCAAGCACAAAAACGCCAAGTCTTACTTTGTTGCTTGAGAGCAAAAAAAATCTTAGATGCTTCTATTTTCTTAAAATGCAATAATCTCCAACATTGGCATAAATTCAAGTTCTGGGCTTCTAAGTAAAGATACCAGAGCACGGCCTCTTTCCCTTTGCCGTACAATAAATAAACCTCTGTGGCAGAAGACAACAGGAAGCAAAACAGCTTTACATTATTTTTTAATTCTCTTATTATATTGGTGTGAGGTAGGTGTTATTTCACAGGTGAGGAAACAGAGGCTCAGAAATATTAACTGAATTGCCAGAGATCACACGGCTAGTTCCACTGCAGGACTGAGATGTGGATGTGACCGTGTGACTTCAAAGACGTTGCTCATCCTTTCACTTGCTGTGTGACAACTTGAGTCATAGTCTTATTTTATCTTTGCTTCATTGATTCAGCAATGAAAGCAGTCAAGCCAAGAAGGTCATTAGTAATTTAAGCTTCTGCCCATCTCCTGAGGAAGCAGAGAGTTTTTAGCCTATAGTCTGGTCAGCTGCATCCATCAACCTCACTGGGTCATTACTGAATTCTCTCCTCATTTGGTCTTGGTAGCTTGTCTTAGAGATGGCCTTCACCATGATACAACACCCCTAAATACTGAATGGATAAAGACCGAATCATCTGAAAATACCACCTTCTTCAAACTGGTCACAGTCCTTAGATTATCTCTCCCCCACCTCCACCCTTCCCCCTTTCAGGGAGTCAGGCTTGTGACAATGCTGACCAAGGCTTATTAAGCATATTTGATGCATTGGATAGGATGGCAGTTTGCTTTGGCAAGAGTGAATAGCTTGATGTTTTACCATAAACCGCCTAGCTTATTTCAATGGCAAATGTTTGTGCTATTAAATTCTACAGAATTTAATTCTACTGAATTCTATTTAAAATCCATTTCTAAATTCCAACAAAGGTGAAGATACTGACCAAATACTCAAAGAAAGGGAGAAGTATATACCGAGCTGTCATTTTTAACTCTATCGAGCAAATTAATTTTGCCTAACAATGATCTCTTTTTGTTAGGAATCTGATTCAACCAGAGTTCTCTGGATAGCCACCCCCAGCAGAGGAGAAGCTGTCTTATGGTGGGGATCCGGGGTCAGGGTATGACTGTGGTCTTCTGGCCAAACTGAGCAGCAAAACCATTTAGTCAAGTGTGTGGAGGGCTGAGGGGAGGAGGCTGTAGGACTATAGGGAAATGAGAGTCTAGGCCACTGGAAAGTGGGCGGCAGAGATGGTTAGGAGATAGATGGTTATTTGCTCTGATTCCCCCTTCCACCCACCGCCAGAAGGAGGCTGAGTTTTGTCGAAGAAGCGGGAGTGACCCATGTAGATTAACATTGCCTTAAATGGAAGTGTATGGGGTATTTAGTGTAAGTTCTTCCAGAATGGTGATGTAAGTTCTAAGTATAAAACACTCATGCTGGACAAGGATTTAGCTGTTTTCTCAATGCCAGAAGAACTTTACTTGCATAGCAAGTGTCACCAGCAGGTACGTGTTCTCTTAAAAGATGAAGTTGACAAAGAAATGTGCAAAAGACGTGCTGCCTCTACTAGCGTTTGGGTGGTACCTCACTTTCCTTAAATCTTGTATTCTCAACTAAGAAAATTGTGTACTTAATATATGTTGCTTCTTCCCACTAGGCCGTAACCCATCTTAGGTGCTGCAATTATTATTCTGACAGTGTGATTGTATCACTACTTCATTCTCCTTTTTTGGGTAACCATGAAAGTCTGGGTTGGTCACGTCCATAAGAAGCAGAAAATTAAACCAGTATTTGCTGAAAAGGGCATGATCCAGAGGGCTGCTCCAGTCAACTGAGACAATGCAGAGATTCAAAGACTGGAGAAAATATTTTCAAAGTGTTTGCTTATTTTTCTAAAACATGAGAAGTTACTGGAGGTTTCCAAAGATATAAATATAAACTTCTAATATGATAATGATAATGGCAATTTATGTTTACATCATATTTTAATTAAAAGGACTTACTAACTGTATTTTTACTTTATCCTCCATGATTATTCAGAAAAATTATATTAATAAAATGCTTCCAGGAAAGGGACTCAAATGATAAACTGCCCTGAAATAAATGATTTTGGAAAAAAGATTTGGAGATAAGGTAGCAGATCATTGTTACTTGAAAATGAGAGGGCTAATTAAGTTGCTGTCTGTTTGATCATGGAAAAACTGTGAGCTATAGGTCCTACGGAGGGTTGCCACTTTTCCCTTGGTCTGTTCTGCCAGGATTTCAGAGAAAATGTCTTTTCCAGCATTAAACAGAAATCTGGGGTAATGCAGTGTCTGGATTATGGATGCATCTCTCTCCTGCATCTGTAGAGGCCAATCCCTGTGTGGGGCAGAGAGGAAAATGGGAGGGAGGCCATTTGCTGGCTGCTGATGACAGATGCGGCTGCTTCCTGTGGCATTCGCCTTTCTGAAGCACCATCGAGACAGCCTCTACTTTTGTCCCACTTTCCAAGCAGCGAGGGGGAAATATTTTACATTTTATTCAACAGCACAAATGGCAAGCACATCATTAGTGAGGAAATATCAAATGAGGGTCTACTGTGTCTTTCAGAGTTCTGCGTTGTGTGTACTAACACAAGCCAGATAAGGGTATCCAAAGGTCTCTTCCAATTAAAAAGTTGTATAACCACAATAAATAATTTTTCTAAATAATTTTGAGAACTACTTGTGGAACTTAAATTTTAAAAGGGGGGATTTCTAAGTTCCATCACAGACTACTACATCAGTATTTTGTAGGGGCCTGGCAGGGTCCTCCAGGTCATTGCACTGCAAATGTCCCTGGACCAGCGGCAGTGGCATTACCCAAGAGCTTGTTAGAAAAGCAGAATTTCAAGCTTTACCTCAAGACCTATTGAATCAGAATCTGAATTTTAACAAGATACTCAGGCGATTCATCTGAACACTAAAGTTTGAGAAGTGCTGCTGTAGTTCATTCTGAATTTCATCTCTGGCCAAGTAATACTGATTTAAAAGAACACTGTTTCTGTATGAACACAAATAAAATATAAATCACCTTGCTTGGCAAACAAAAAGAAAGCTCCTTGTGTAACAATGCTCCACACAGAAAGATGTTAACGTCCAGAAGGACGGGGATAATTATATAACATGTAGGTGAATAAAAACAAACTAATGGCTTAAATCCTGAAAAACTAAGGAAATATTTTTTTAAAAAAGACTGAGGCTCAATTTGAGAACAATTTTTTGAAGTTTCTGAAAGTGGAAATACCTTTGGCATGTTGGATAGCGCGATGTGTCTGCTCTCTCTTCTGATCCTGATTGAAAAGTTGGCTTTGAACAATGGTTCGTCAAAGCAAGGGAAGGCCATGCGTGCCTCGGTCGGCTGAAAATCCGTTACAGCAATTGTTCTGTGAAAAGACCCACCCCCAACCAGAATGCACACGTAAAACCAAGAAGAGAAACGAATTTGTACTTTTAGCAAACAGAGTATCAAACCTGGAGGTGATATATTTGATTTTTCAAACTAGGATCTTTATGTATCTCAACTCCCTCTTTGAAGAAAACGAGGAAAAATCTCATGAGCAACGCCCTGTGCTGGGAACTCTAATTACATGATTTCCTTCATACTTTGTCAGACAAGGATATTGCGGCTCAGAGAACTTGAGTGACCTTACCAGGATCCCTAGCTGGCAAATGGCTGAAATAGGACTTACGCTGTCAACTTGACTTCAAAATTGACTAAGGAATTAATGTTCAGTATCGCCTCTAACCCAAGGGGACCTCAATCAGACTCGTGAATAATTGTGTATACGAGTGACGTCCTAGGTTGTGTTCCCCGGAAGCAGACCCCGATTTATAAAAAACGTGCTGCCAAGAGAAACACGTAAGGGAATGAGGGAAGCAGGGCAGGCGAGACAGACAAGGGTGCAGTATCAGGCAGAGTCCCAGCGTCAACCCGATCCCTAGGAAGCTCTGGGATGGAAGCTACACCTTCCAGTGTCCCCCACTGGAGGCAAGGAGCTGGGCTTTCGTATTCCTGCACCGTCTCTGGCTGCGGGTCTCCATGTGGCACCTAAGCCCCCAGACACCTCTAGTTCACTCTGCTTGCCAGTCTTCAGACTATGACAGATAGCTAGATACTTTGACAAATCTCTATCCTCCAATAGCTTGACAATGCCTGAAACTGTATAATTACATATTTATTCTTTAGACTTTAAGTTTCAAATAAGAAGTGAATCTGAGGGCCAGATTTTGATTGGAGAAAGAAGGGAGAATAGAGTAGCTCAAATGAGACCATGAAGCGACCAGGAGTCAAAAAAAGGAGCTCTCAGGACATTTTACCTCAGCTCACTTTATTTCTGTGATGCAGACCGGGAACATGAAGCTACGGATTTAAATGACTCACTTGGGGCCTTGGGGTCTTATTTGGATTTGGTAGCAGGTACTGCAAATGTAAAGGAATTGCAAGTGCCTTGAATCATTTTCACTATTGTGACATTTTGGTTGTAATAAGTCTACATCGAAAAAGCAAAAAGTTGAACCATTTCTTTGCTACTTATACGATATTAATTTTAACTCGGCATGCAAATTAGTGACTTCCTGCTTCTCAAAAAAACTACTGTCAACTGAATTATTTGTGTATTTTAGGCGAAGAGGTGAGAGCAAGCGAGAGAGAGAAAGATCCGTAAGATTCAATTGACGTGATGCAGCACATCATCCTGCATGTCAGACCTACTCGGTGACTGAGCATGAACAGAACTGACTGATTAACCACAAGAAGAGTCAGAAACAACCTGCAATTCATCATGGGAGGCATGCTGTAAAGTCCTCCAGCTCCTACACCAAATATCTCCCCCTCTAATCTCCCCTAGCTCCCAAAATAGTATCCCTAAAATATATGTCCCTTGGATGGGGCATTTGCACTTGAAAAAATGAGAAAAGCCATCGCCGTTCACATGGTGCCTTGGCGAGAAGGAGTGGATGGGTTTCCTGTCCAGTACCGTGCAGAGCCTGAGACAGGCCCCTGAGAATGGAGGCTGCAACGAGGGGCAGCGTCTCCAAGGGGAGCGGGAAAGAGATGGGCCTGGGGAAGAGCTGTCCTAAGTGGACCACTGGGGGCCGGGGGTGGGCAATCGAGGCCTCAGTGGGCAGTGAGCACCGAGGTGGGGAAGGGAAGAGCAGGTACGCATAGTAGACACTGCTAGTCGCCTACCCAATGTCCCTTCCCCTTCGTCAGTTCCAGTGGAACCGCGATTTGCTCAGGAAGGCAACGAGTCCGGATAAAGAGTTACTTCTTCAGGCTCCCTTGCGACTTGGTGGGGCATATATGGCTTGTTCTGGCCTAGTTGAAGTCGGTGGGAGGGAACACTTTGTAAAGAGGGTCAGACTCATTGGCAATGTTTCTTTTTGCCTTTTTCTCTCCTCCATGTCCCCTTTCTTCCTGCCTGGAATGTGGACTTGATGCCTAGATGTGCAGCAGCCGTTTTGTGATTATTAGGAGAAGGCCGTAGATGCCTGAGCAGAAAGACAGAGGATCCTGGGGCCTGGATGACACTGGAGAGCAGCACACCTGAGCTGCCTACTTCTGCACTTCTTGTTGCGCGAGAAAAACATGCCTCTGCATGGCTAGGCCGCCGTATTTGGGTTTCTCTAGCTGGCAATTAATACAACTGATAAAAGGTGGGAGAGCATTGAGCCAGGTCCTCTTACCTCCCCAAGGGACCCTGGCCCTGCAGAACCAAACCATCCACTCTATGCAGCATCCTTGCTGCTTCTCTTTCTCTCACCTCACATAACTGGCATGTCCACAATCTCCCTTGTTTTACCCTATTAGATAACTGCCAAGTTCTACTGTTTTGCTCCTAAGCACTGCCACCAGCCTGGCCCAAATTGCCATCACCTCTCACCTGAACTACTGCAATGACCACCCCCCGCCCCCCACCAGGATTACTCTGCTTCTACTTTCTCTTCTCTATGACATGGCTTCAACATAGACTTGATCTTTACAAAGCATAAATCCGATCAGAACCTCCCAGTGACTTTCTGTTGCACCCGAATAAAAGCATATACTCCTTACAAGAGGTTCCAAGGCTCTACATGATCTGACCCCTTTCTTCCCCTTGTACACGCTCCTCAGCACACATTGGCCTTCTTTGCTCAATCAGTCCCACTTTAGAGCCTTCGTACTTGCTTCAAGATGTTCTCACGATTATCTCTTTTAAAAAAACTAAACCAGGTCTCAGTTTAAATACTTCCTTAGCAAAGACTCTGTGGCTCACTCATCTAAATCGGTCTCAGTCCACCGCTACACTTTCTATCACAGCACCTTGTTTTATTTCCTTCACAGCACTTGTCTCTTACCTTGCCCATGTCCTTTATTTTCCCATCCTGGTTGCCTCTTCCATCATCTCCCACCACTATACATTCCGTGCCTAGCACGGTGCCTGGCACATAGCCTGTGCTCAACAAATGTGAGCTGACCAAATAAACCATACTTCTCAATTCTCCAAACAGACTTGTTCCTTATTCCTGTCTCCTGGATTTGAGTCATGCCATTCTCTGGGCAATGTGCACCTTACTTCCTCTCTCCCAACCCCAATCTCACTTACATTTCCTTCTGGCCCCAGATCAAGACCCACCTGCTTTGAGAAGCCTTCCCTATTTCAGCCCTCTCTGCACTGACCATCCATCCCTTCCTCTAGCACATATGCATGTCTGTCTTCCCACAGTCATGTACTGGCCTCTCCTCCTAGTTATTTTTCCTACAGCTGTTTATGCCTCCGTATCCTGTCTTCCCATCTCTACTGTGATTTCCTTAAAATAGCAGAACTTTCCCTTCTTTTGACTTCCCCATGGTTTATTGGATTTCTCCTGAATGGTTGCTGAAGCACCTGGCAAAGAGCTGTAACTCATATGGAAAGCATCACAGGAGACTGTACATGACCTGAGCAAGGTCTTACCTTTGTTCACCACCAAGAGTTCTGTACGTGCTTTTATAAAACCCTGCAAAGCCATCCGCTAACTTGGCCTGGAAGTCAATGTCCACGTAGTATTTCCAGCCGGGCATGAGTTTCTCCGGAACCAGCAGTGCAATTTGTTGATGAGTAGGATGACTCAAAACATGCAACTTTTTCCCTGGTTTCATGTATCTTGAATCTTCCTCTGACCGAAGAGTGGCACTCGTGATCTCAAGATCTTTGCTGTGCAGGATGATAAATTGGGTGGTGTCTCTGGCCAAGACCTCAATCTTCTCAGATGCAACAAAGTCCAGAGAGGTGAGATTGGGGTGGATTAAAAGGTCATAGTGGAGGGGAGTGACCATGTTGGGGAGCCTTAGCTCCGGCCAAGGAAATGGTTCCCCATTGGTGGCTACTGGGAAAGCCCCAGGATCCTTATTGGACTGATAACTAGATGGCATTGAGAATTGAGAACAAATGCATATTTTGGGCAAGATGACTGCTAAGCAGTAAAATCCTATGTAAATATTAAATATTGGCTTTCCGTGTGAATTAACCATTGCAGAAGAGTGGAACACTGACTCTGTTCTCTGGAAGACAAGCTAATATCCAGGCTACTCCTCTAGTTCTCTATAGCACTGCATCAGCTCCAGTTACGACACACAGGATCTGAGCAATATGTTTCAATAAATGGATTTAATCTAGAAGGAAAAAAAAATTTATAGCATGAAGAAAAAGATTTTAATTCACAAAGAAAACCTATCATCTGGTTGTTACAAATAAAAGGACCCTACTTTAAAATTGCATTTAATGAATTTACTCTGCATTCCTGTGCAATGAGCAGAAGGCAACTGTGTAAATTCATTGCATCTTGAATGCTTTTAACATTTGGTTACATCATTTTAAGAACATGCCTGAATGCCTGAAAGTAAACTGTGCAATATGTCTCTATTTTGTCTTAATCAGTCCCCAAAGAATATCCTATATTCTTTGGATACCTGATATTATTATTGTTACTGATGGCATTGAACTTCACCTCTTTCAATAAATAACATCATCTGAATGACCTTATTCTACGGCTACTGGTGTAAAGAATGCTGGTCTAGGTAGGTATTTATCCTCCATTTATTTCCTATATATAAAAAGCTGGGGCAGAGGGGAGGTGGATGATGAGAATCTATGTAATGAGTACAATGTACTGTAGTTGGGTGATGGATACCCTAAAAGCTCTCACTTCACCACTATGCAATCCATGCATGGAATGGAATTACATTTGTATTTCATAAGTTTATACAAATAAATAACAATAATAACAATGGACAAAACCCAAATGTTTTGATCTATTGTTAGCTCCACTGAAAGCAGAACTTTTTCATTGGAGCAAATAATTCTCTTTGGGAATAGAGGAGTAAGTGAGTTGGCCCGGTGGCTTCCCTTGCTAGCAAGTATAATAGGAATGTAAATGTAATGAACAGCTTTAATAAATGTGTTTTGTGTCCAAATTTAAAAAAGAAAATCCCAAAATATCAAAGCCATGGAAATGAAATTTGAGTTTATAATATTCTAACTGAAAATATTTTAAAAATTGTTTTGGTCCTCTTCACTTTATACTACCCTTAAAAACACAATTAAATCAAACTCACTTTACTGCCTGAATGGAATTAAGGCAATTTCCTCCTACTAACAGGGTAAAAGTCCAAACCATATAAAATTAGGACAAACAATGTAGTTAATTGAGGTGATTCAACTCTGTCCCCCACCTTGCCACCTTCCCGCTCCAATTAAAACCCATGAACGGTTGTCTTTTGTCTTTTCTTTTCTTTTTTTTAACCATTAAAAATTTCTTCAGAAGTAATTATACAATTACTTCATTTTCCAATTTGCAATATTGATGCAGATTAACAGATATCGTTAAAGGAACAAAAAATACAATAATTTTAAATAACACTTCTCCCTCCTTTTAAAGACGAGCATTAAATTACTGCTATCAAATCTCAATGTTCCAAGAACCTCTGAAAAGTAAAGTCATAATTGGTCTATTAACTTGAATTTCTGAAGGTTTCAAAAAATAAAATGGATTATTCATTAATTCTTGGGCTTTGGAATCAGAGTGCCCAGATCCCAACACTAGCTCCACCAAACTTACCTGTATAATCTTATGCAAAGTTTCTGATTTTTCCTCACCTATAATACAGCATAATAATATAATACAATATAATAATTGTACCTTCTTCATGTTGGTAGGACTAAATGAAATAACTCATGTAAAGAAATGGGCACAGCACAGCAACTAGCACATTGGAAGCATGTAATGAATGTTAGATATTAAATTATTAATGTGGTCATAACTCACATTCTGTGGCCTAAATTAAGAGGTAGTTCTGCCCCTACTTATAGCAGACACTCCCAGAGTGTATTTTATTGATAACAGTGGAGAGAAAGGCTTTGATATTTATTCACATAGTCCTTAGCTTTAAAACTGGTAAGGATTTTAAAGGCCAGTAAGTACAAGTCCTTAGTGTTTAGATAAAGAAACTGAGGGTGAACGACTTTGCCAGATTCACACAGGACCTTTGAAGCAGAATCTGGACTGATGTATAGCTCTTTGACCCTTAGTCTGGGGGACTTTCCCTTATACTGCCCTGCCCCTTAAATAAATATCCTGGAATTGAAGAGACAAAAACGGTAACAAGCATTTGGGAAAGGCTAAAAGATCTCCAAAAGGGAATGAGTCAGTTAAGCAGAAAGAGTCTTAAATCAAGTCCCATCCTCAACCTCACACACTTTCCAACACAGCAATGCCAAATTCACCCCCTTTTCCTAGAGCCTCACCTAAGATTACAAAACCTCCTCAATACAGCAGTTCTATAACTTCAGTTTAGGCCATGATTCTCACCGAAAAATTCTGATTTTAAGGCAAACCCAAGAGAGAGGTGGATTTGTTACCTTAGTCCACGCTGTTGCAGATTTTAAGGAGTTTATTTTTGCTTTCACTTTCTATTCTAACATTCAGAACTTTACATACTTCCTGATTACAGTGCTAGCTGGTGCATTATCATGTAGGTGTAAATGGGGCTTAGGAAAAAAGCTTTATTCCAAAAAGCACAAGAAAACTTTCTGTAGAATGTACCAGTAAGTGGTTTCAGAGTAGAAGCCAAACCACGGCAGGGTAGGATCTGACTCTAGTATCCCCAGCAGCTGTTTTCCTGCTGTTTTATCTCCCCCTTCCCCTTCTCCCCGAGTGTAACCCAGTTCATGTTTCTTCCTGCCAAGTTATTTGAAGACTCAATCATGAATTTCTCACTGTGCTGTGTTCTTAGCACTGTGAAATCTGACTTCTGTCCATCCATTGCCCAAAGGTAGCTCCAAGGTTGCCAGTGGCCTCCTAGTCAGCTTCCGTGGCCTTTACAGAGGTGATTATCCTTGGCTTTTCCATGTCTGTAACCTCTTGCCTTCTGGGCCCCAGGGGACTGTATCTCACCCTCATCTCCTCCATCTCTCTTCGGCTGCCTTGTTCGGTCAGGCCTCTACTTCCTCTCTCGCCCGAATGTGGGCCCTCGGCAAAGGTGAAACGTCTGCTTTTTGTTCTTCTGTCTCTTTACCCTTTCCAGTGCACAGGTTTAGCATTTATCCTCATCCGCTGCACGTTTCGCCTGTTCTGATGTCTCCTTTGGGGGTCCTGGTGCTGCAACTCCAACAGCGTGACGGTCTGTCTTTACCGGGATGTTTTGTTAACAACTCGATGTCCTCTTTCTCCAGATCAGCGCCCTTTGCTTTAACTTCACCTGCTTTAAGACTTCCTCCACCATCTGGGATTGGACTCTGTGGTTATTTTGATTCTACCCATCTCCAATTCGTTAGCAAGTCCTATTGATTCTTCCTTTTTAATCTCTTTCTATCCAACTTGGAAAAAAAATCCCACAGCGATTAAAGTAGTCCAGGCCCTCATCACTCCTCACCATGGCTTGCGAACAGGTCTTCAGGCTCCTGAAGCCCTGTCCCCTGCAGTCTGCTTGTACAATGTCACCTGATTGATCCTTCCTACTACTGCTTGACCATGCCTCCCCCTGCTCGGGACCTTTCCATGGTTTTACACAGAGAGGCAGGTGGAGAGGCAGTGTGGAGAGCACGAGTAGCCCACTGGCAGCCTGTGTGCCAGCCCACAGCTGTTTGGTTTGTTTAGATCACAGTCTATCAAAAGGCAACACACCCGCGCAAGTGCTATTCCTCAGTGCAACAGAGCAAGCTTAGCTCTTACTGTCTTACAGACCTTCTTCACACGCTTGTATTACACGCCTGGTCCTGCAGCGCACTTGTTTGCAACCTGGGCTTTGGCCCAACACCACGTGTTGCCATGATTAGAACCTAGTTAACTCTCAAGCTTAACTTTTCCCCCTCTTTCTATATTTTATTATTTTAACCTTGATGAACAATTTGATCGAGTAGAAGGGACAAGAGCAAGGCAGTAACCTACATCTAGGGCCAGAGGCACAAGGCTGAATGGGAGTGGCATTTGCCTTGTGCCTCAGAATGACATTTCGTGTAGTTAGAGGGGCACCTCAGGGTGTGGGGGGATGGCTAGAAACAGGTGAGTTTCCAGGGAAACAGGGAAAAGGGGACAAAGAAGAAGAGGCCCCAGGGGCCTATTCATGAAAATTTAATTCTGCAGGGGGTAGGGGGAGGTAGGGGAAGTATAGGAAACTGGGGGTAGTTTTGTGACATTCCCTGGTGACAGGATCCAGCCCAGTTGTGTGAGTGGGGGGTGGGTGGGGTGCATGTGTGTGTGTTCTCAGAGCTCTCCCCTGCCTGTTGGAACAGACCTGGTGATTGAGAATGGGGAACAGGGCGACGGGGTTGAGCTACAGAATCCTGGAGGAGAAAGCTGAGTAGATCTGAGTACTTCACAGCTTATTGAAACAGTTGCCCACCAAAAGGGGTTCCTAACTTTCCTTCTTCCTGATAAGAGGATAAGCTTTGGGATGTTCGTTGCTTAGGGAATTCACACCTCATTTTTTCACTTCATCGGGTTCTCTGAACTGTCTGTCACTCAGAGAGACCCTCCGTGTTGGCTCTAACACAGTAGTCCTCCTCCCTAAATCTACCTCACTGCCACCGAGGTTCTGCCCCCTTAGCCTGCTTTATGTTTTTTCTTAGCATCTCTCAATTCCTGATTATTTCACTCTACATTTATTTTTTTACCCGCGTCCCCATCAGAACATAGCTTTTTGTAGGCAGCAACTTTGCTTGCTCACTGCTGATGCCGAGCACAGAGCAGAGCCTGGCATATAGGAGACCCCCCAATAAATACCAGCTGAATAGGTGGCTGCATTTCGATTGCCCAGTACTTGCTCCGTGCTTAAGGTACTTTCCATTTCTGGATGAGCCAGCGTTTTCTCATTTTTACTGCAGCTGCCACTCCATGTGACATAGTGTCTATGTAACACCCCGGGGTCCCTTTATCACAGGGTAAATGCCCCCTCCAAGAAGCCACCCTGGAAGTGACACATGCTTCCTTTCCAGTCCCTGACCATAGGCATTTGTTGAGTAGTTCTACAGGCCCTTACCTTAGGCCAACATTTTTGTGCTTCCTATTTTTCCTTAAATTACCACCTCCTTCAGACTATGGGCCAAACACCAGGACTCCAGCTCTTCCCAGCACCTACCAGAGTGTCCTGCACATTGCAGGCCCTCAAACA